AAATTGGGGCATTTTATTGCAATAAGATTGACTTTGAAAACAAGATATGATCCTTTTGAAATCTGAAATCTCTTGAGTCTCATTTTCTGAGGCTTACTACAGCCATCTTGCTTTTTTGTTCACTAAGTTTTACAATACTTAGGAAATTTCATGCTGAAGCCCATCAGGAAATGACACCACCTGAAAGGCAGGGAAGTCATAATGAAGGCTAAAAATGGTCCTTTTGTCTAGCAAACCTTGGTAAAGAGTGTCCATCGCAGTAACTTTTACTTGTATAAGAATCCATTTAATTGGCTTAAATGGTTAACTAACTTAGCTGCCCTGCCTGCTCCTTCTTAATTAAGGCTTGGTGTGTACAAATGTAAACCATTCCTAGATATAAATTACTAGTATCTGAACAGCAGATGCTCAAGGGTTGTCTGTTTCCAGGTGAACAAACTCTTCAGTTAGTGCAGGTGCTGGAGGCTTATCTTTAGACCACAGTTTAAGAAAGCAACCTATCCATGAAAACACTTAACTAAGCATGTACTTGAGTCCTCTAGGGAGCTGAAAGCTAAATATCCACTTGTGTGTCTTCAGTAATGCTTTCCTCAGTCAGGGCCTTAGTCCCAAGGGCTCAGTGTCAAATGTTGCTGCAAGCTCAGGCAGGCACAGCTGTGTGCACATCCTGGTGATTTCTGCAGATGGCAGGAGAATAAGAATGGCTTACAGATCTTGATGAGTGGCTAAAGTTTAGGCCTCTTACTAGGGCTCTTGGGCCTTTTGGGAGATGATCGTTTAGTGGCTCTTTATTCAGAGAGCTGAGTATTTAAGAAGGACTAAGGAGCCTGGTGACTAACGTTTCTACTCCTACTTTTTGGAACAGGGTGTCCTTGGTGATCCCGCCATGCCAGAAGTCTCGCTATGCCACATACTTTGATGTGGCAGTGCTGCGCTGCCTGCTGCAGCCACATTGGTCTGAGGAGGGCACACAGTGGTCACTAATGTACTACCTGCAGAGGCTGAGGCACATGCTGCAGGAAAAGCCGGAGAAACCACCTGAGCCAGAGATCACTCCTTTACCAAGGCCTCGCAGCAGCTCCATGGTGGCTGCTGCACCCTCTCTGGTGAATACCCACAAAACTCAGGTAAGCAGTTGTCATCAATAAGAACGTAGCAACTGTTATGGTGATACTGGGAAGTGACGACCGGACAACTAGTGAAAAGCACAGCTTTGGTGTTGGTTAAACCGCCTGTGGGTCAGATATGTGCACCAATTCAGAAAGAGACCCTGAGAACAATGAAGGTTTTGGAGGCAGAATCTGATGCAGAGAGTCAGAGGTGGTGATTGCTGAAAGCTTGAGGGTTGATTTGGGATAATTAATCTAGGATGAACTGTGATAACTTTTTTTTTTTTTTAATGTGAGACTATACTAATGTAGTTGTCAGAAGAAATCAGACCATCTTTGCTTTATGGTGTAATGCTCAGGACTCATTGAGCTTTTTTGGTGCAACCCTTCAAAAGAGAAAAAAGGAATTGCACTTGATACAGCACTGCACACTCCAGGCAAACACCTGATTTAAAATATTGGAGTAGACTTTGCAAACAGTGGCAGTGAGCAAAAGCCCTTCATGTTGTTACCTCTTCTCCTGCTGTGATTACGTAACTTTTACCTTTGTGTTTGCCAACAAAACCTCAGTAGACAAACTGTCCTAATGGGTGTCAAGACTTGATTCCTGTTTTGCTGGAAAAGGAACCCCAGACTTCTGACCTTGGTGCAGTAAAGATCTTTGTGTTTGAGCGTAAATGTTTTTTCTTTTGGGTAGCTCCCTGTTGTTCCAGGGATAAAAAGGGGATGCTGCTGCAGTTTCAGTTAATCTCCTTGTTGATTTGTGCTACTTTTAGGATGTGTGCTCTTTTCCTGTCTTGTGGGCTTTTAATAGCAAATTCTGATTTACTAAGTTGATGGAACTGCCTGACAAAATTTAATACAGATTCTGGTTTTGCAATCCCATTTTATGACACATCTCAAGTAAAAGGCTCTATCTTCCGTTAATGTTGCTGTCAAATGTCTTTTTTTTGAGTCAGAACTCCCAGAATTTTTGGTGCTTTTTCTTAAAATTCTTACTTTCGCTATTGTAGAGCTCTGGCAGTTTTTGACCTGCCATTTTATAAGGGAGGAAGGTGAAATATCTTTTCTCCTGTATAGCCCAGATGTTCATAAGCCAGAAGACAAGCACAGTCTAAATATTAGTACTGTTATTTTTAAATCTCAGGATTTTATATCCATTCTTATTATTTTTATGAGGGCTAGTGGTTACTTGTGGGTTTAAGGGCTCAGCAGCAGCAGTATTGTTTAAACAGTATTAAACTTTAGTGTCATTTTTATAAAATGTTGCCTGTTTCATCCCTGTAAAAGCTTGACATATCTCCATACATGAATTACCATTCAGTCTTAATCTACCTTTGCATGGGGATTTTACAGGATTGCTGTGCATGTGCAGAAAATCCTCAATATCATCTCCTGGAGGGAGAATTGAAAGAAAGACGTTGCTGTTGATGTTGTTCACTGTTTCCATGTATATACTGTCCCTTCGCCTTTGCTCAGAACAACCTGCTTATTTTGCACATTAACAGGTTTAGCTACGAGTGCATCAGGGAGTGCAGTTGGTGGTTCTCAGCACAGTGACAGCATGAATGGGGTTGTCCTGCATAGGCACTGTTTGCACTAGTATCATGCTGGTTCTTCTCTATGCAGCAAAACACTTCTCTCCTTTCACACACTTGGCTATTGCTTCCTTTTTCCAGGCTGTTTCTCTTGCAGAAGATTCCTTTGCTCAGTTGCTCTTCACTAACATTTTTCTGTTAAATCCATTTGGCAATCCCACTGGGTACTTTCTAGCTCTTAATGTGAGGACTATGTCCAGGGCATTCTTCCCTCTAGGGCTAGGTTTGATTGCTTTTGGTAACCTCAGTGTCAATCCTGTGTATTTTTATGGTACTTCATCAAATTGGAATCCTGGTTCTAAAGGTTTACAATTTGTTACACAGAACAGATGTGTTTAGGAGGTGAAACAGTCTTCCACGCAGCAAAAGTTTCAGCTCATGGCCCCCTTCTTTACAACTGTGAGGACTGAAATCTTTGCAATGCACAGAGGTACCTAGGCTCTGTTTCATCCCAGCCAACTGTGGGGTATTAACTGCTGTTCTTAAATTCAGACTCTCATCACTAAGGGCTTTCTGCTAGTCAGAGGAGAGAAAGACACCCCCAGAGAGCTAAAATTTGTAGTTTCTTTCTATCAGCACAAGGGGTTGTATGCTGAGACTTTACCAGCTCATCCAGCACAGGGATGTGGTTAAAGCCTGCTTTTTCAGGCTAGATCTTAAACTCCTAAGGAAATGTCATACTTTCAAGTTGATAAATAAGTTCTCAAAAATATTGGCGCTCTGTGTTTCAGTGGGATAGATTTAAAGTGGCAAGTAGAAAGTGATTATAGATAAAAATAGCTGCCCTCAAATCACATCAGGGACCTGTAGATTTTTCTGGTAAATCCACATTCTTTCTTTTGTTCTGCAGTTTATCAGGGTAACTTCCTACATCTCCCTAAGCCTCAGCAAAACTCTCACACTTCTTGTTGGTTTCTATGTGCCTGAAATCACATTTCAAATATAAGCTTGGGCTAAAGGAGTTGGGATTGAGAGAACATGAAAAATATCCTCCGTGTATTGCCTAGTAAATTGAATAGCAAAGTAGAAAAAGATTCAGTGCAGCACGCCAGCACTCCTTGCTGCATAGGAAAAGGGGTACTGGATGGAGTGTGAATAAAATGAATACTGGCTTCCTCTAGAAAGTGACTTTAACCATATTTCAGACGTGTCAATATGTGATAAAGGAAAGCTGCATTGCACCTGTGTGCAGTGAATTCAGTGTAAGGACAGGTCTCTTCAGAGTCTCACAAACCTCTACAGTCTCACACTAACATTGCAGGGTCAAAGCCAAAGCTTAAATTAAGTGTAAGACCAATGCACCTGTGTTGCTCACTGCAGTGCTAATATAAAGCCAAGAGTCTCAAGTGTAATATTTTGAGAGTTGAGAGAAGTACTAATGAGTTGGTAGCCATGAAGTCATGCAGAAGGAAGGCAACACAAAACAGGTGATTCTGTAGTTTGGTTTTCTAGTGGTGTTTGCTTGATACCTCCTCTAAGTGGATTTCGGAACTGGGACTGACTCTTTCTGTGTGTTTGTATGGCTTGTATCAGAGTAGGCCCAGGTGCTCGCTCTGTCCTTTTGGTGGCCACAGGCCACCTAATAAAACACTGATTTAGCAACTAAGGGACAAAGATAATGAATCTGGAATAAATTAATACAATTTTTTCCAGCCAGAAGAGGCCAGAGAGCTGTAAAAGCTAAGAACCAAGCCATATGACATACTTGCCTGTCTTGCTGTTGGGAGCACCTAGGGTTGAACCCTGATTTGCTGTCTGTCGGCTTTTACATAAGACTTCTCCCCTGAATCCTTAGTCATATGTGTAAAACGGTTTAAAAGCATACCTTGACTGAATGTGACTGAAAACAGCCGTGAAGAGGAATCTTTCTGTTGTGTGTCTCCTTTTGCTTGTGTTGATAAAATTTAATTGGAAGGATTCAAAGGTAGTCTTTGATTAGTCTGAAAAGTCTCTGAAGAATGTGTGGTCCCCAGTAGCCCAGTACTGCAAACATGGTACCTGGTGCTTAAGACTTCAGCTGCAAAGACTGTCACCAGCTTCTGCTGGACCTTCACATGCTGAAAACTGCACGCTTGTGTACTTCAGAGCTAGTGAGCTCCGCAATCCTCAGTCTGGCTAACCAGAATCTAAATCTCCTGTACTATAGGAGCCACTTCGTCTATCATTGGCATACAGCTATCTCTGGATTGAAAGCAAAAAAGTATTTTAACACGATCCAGTTGTTTAGCACAAGCTTTCTGATGGGGGAGTGACAATAAAGAGCATCTCCATTGGAAACAAGCTGATATTTAGGCAGAAGAAAATGAACCTGAGGGAATTTGGTCAGGTCAGCTGAACAAACATCTCATGAAAAAGTGACATCAGATCCTTAATGAGAACAGATGGCCAGGAGCTGAGCTGGTGCCACCTTTTGCAGCAAAGCCTTTCTCTATAGCAGGCAGCTGTAATGTGTGTGGCTCACTGCACAAGGGGAGTAGAGTGCCCTCTGCTGAACTGTCAGTAAATCAAGGTTTTCACTGTCGTGAGACATTCTGTGCTACAGCCATAGGGGCTTCCACAAATATGAACCACAATGAGAACTACGATGGACAGATCTTGGAGCACTGTTATGACAATTAAAGGATGCTTACTGATGTAGAAGTCTCAGATTCCTTTAGTGAGTAAATAAAATTTGTACAAATCAAGTCTCTTGAAGGGACAGTGCTACTTGTTGCAGTTCAGTTCCAAAATACATCTTTAAGGGCATATTCTCTAAGATCTTAAATAAAACACTTCAAAAAGGGTAGCCATTGTCATTGCTCATATATGTAAACCAAGGCCTCAAGAAGATCGTCAGCTATCCAGAGTCATATCTGGGATCAGAATGAGAGCAGGATAGAACATGAGTCTTTCATGCCACTAGACCACACTGACAGCCAAGCCTGAGGATTTCTGTGTCAGCAAAACATTAGTCAAGGTCAGTAATTCTGGGAGTTTCTAAATTTTGTTTGTTTGTTCATTTGTTTTTCTTTAAATGTGTAAATACTCTTTTATGTAAAGAATTAAAGGTCCTTTTCCCCTACAGTGCTCCTATGACAGCTCTTGGAAGTAGGTCTTTTTTTTTAAAGCTGATTATCCTCTATTTCTGTTTGTGAGCTGCAGGATCTTACAATTAAATGTAACGAGGAAGAAAAATCACTAAGCACAGAAGCATTTTCCAAGGTTTCACTGACTAACTTACGTAGACCAGCAGTTCCAGATCTCTCCACAGACCTGGGGATGAACATCTTCAAAAAAGTGAGTGGAAGAAAATTGTACTTGAATTTATCTGTGATTCAGCACCTCAATAGGTGTTCTGCTCAGCAGCAGCTGAAGGTCTGCTTGGACTATATATTCATGCCATATGTGAGACTGACATATCTTTTAATTGGACATGATTATGTGTGTTATTACATAGGTTTTTATATGCACATTCCAAACACAATAGTGAAATTTTTTCACAAATTGAAACTGCATGAGGGGAGGGTACTCAAACAGTGCTGATTTTTAAGTGTTGGTGCTCACTGTAGTTCCAGCTAATTCAGTGAGGTTTTTCCAATGTTTTTTACCTCATCAAGCTCTGGGTTTGCAGCTATCTAAGATACTTAGCAGAGTTTTGTGGATTCTATGAAACTAGCTCATGGTCTGAGAATGTTATAAAATTATACAAGAGCATCCATCCCAGCCTAGGGCAAGACTGAGTTTAAATACTCATATGGTCCCAGAGTGCAGATAGTTGCAATCAGGGTAAATGGCCAAGATAAAAAGCTCAGAGTGGAAGGTTACTCTTGGACCACATATCTATGTTGTCTTTTTTCCTCAAATGATAGCCTGCCATGCTTCAAAGCCTCTATCTGCTCTTGTATTTGCTCCTGTTCCTCCTGCAGTTTAAGAGCCGCAAAGAAGACAGAGAGCGTGAACGTAAAGGGTCGATTCCCTTCCACCATACTGGGAAGAAGCGGCAACGAAGGATGGGGGTGCCCTTCCTCCTCCATGAGGACCATTTGGATGTCTCGCCCACTCGCAGCACTTTTTCCTTCGGCAGTTTCTCTGGAATCGGAGAGGATCGGCGTGCCATTGAGAGAGGAGGATGGCAAACTACCATATTAGGTGAGATATTGTTGTCTCTACCCCAGCTTCTGTGTCATCCCTGTCCTGAACATTCAGAGAACAACAGAGGCTCTTTATTTCTTCAGCCATCCTGTTGCCACCTTATGTCCTTGGCTCTGTTTACAGCATTACACACCTGCTTGTAGAAGTGGCAACTGTGCTGACGGCAGACCTTGAATAACTTACACTTCAGTTCACTTTTTCTCTGAAAACTACCATCTTTACTGGAATAATAGGTACTGTAGCAACCTGTAGTCATGTCTGTACCAGTTCAACACACTTGCCCTGAGTGGTAGCAAGCATTGTGCATCTGCAGCTTAAAATAGATTCAAGGAACAGTTGTGTCATCTTTTAAAGAGAAATCTCTGGAGAGGCAGCAATATGGTCATTAGGCGTGTGGCAAAAATATCCACAGTCTTCCTCAAGTGGATACAAAATAAATAGGGTATTGTCTCAGATGGTGAGGCTTACACTTGATATTGCAAATTCACAGTGTCTAAATATCGGCTCCTTCAAGCTTCCAGGTTCACCGAACAGTGTCTGTGCATTGTTTCTGTTTCACAAACTTAAACCTAATATCACAGCTTTTCGTCCTGGAACCCTTGTTTGGAGATGTTAGGCAGCAAAATGATTGGCTAAGGCCATGCCAGAGCCTTCTAACTTTCACTGGCTGAGATGGCATCATTTGGTAAGCTCTCCATTGTAAACTTTTCCCTCTTTGGGACAAAGGACAATGAGCTTTGCCAAGTGAATTCTTAAAGATTCACCTGTGTTTTATCAATGGTTAATACTCAAACACCTATAGATTTGCACAAGAATAGAAAACTTAGTATCCAAATCATCCTTCCCATATTGTCAGCTCAAGAAGTTTGTTACATTTTGATTTCAGGGGCTTCAGATTCTTGTCCTGGCTTAACCTACAGTTCTTTCATTCTGATATCTCAGTGAAATAACGTATTTCAGATCCAATGGTCAACAGATCTTTTGCTTTAGCACTCCCCATCCTAATATATCTATTTCTTTTGGAGGAGGGGAGAAGAAACCAAATTCCTATAACTTGCCCCAAAGGGTGGAGTCTTTCAGTGCTGACCAGTCTTATTTTCCTGAAGCTGCTGGAGGGCGACAATGTGCATGTCAGCTAAATCAGTATGTGCTGAGGGGAAGAGCCTTGCAGAGTTTGTATATTCGATCTTTATGTCAATGAACCCCTGTGAGATATTCCACTATAATGTTTGGTTCTGTTTCACAGGGTCCTGGAAGGCCTTGACTTTTGGAGACTCTAGTCATTCAATTTTTAACCTCTGTTACAGTCTGTTGCCTCCAAGCAACTCTCAGATGCATAAACTAAATTTCCATTTCTTGTCTTCACCCTAGGGAAGTTTACCAGACGGGGGAGCTCTGACACAGCCACGGAGATGGAGAGCCTGAGCGCTAGGCACTCACACTCCCATCACACGCTGGTCTCTGATCTGCCGGACCACTCAAACAGCCATGGAGAGAACATCGTCAAAGAAGGTAAATTTAACACATCAGGAAAGAAACCTTTCACTGAAATATCAGCTCCAAGAACCTGAGGAAGTGTTACTGTTTCCATGTATGACTATATAACTTTTTTTCTTTTTTTTCCCCCCACATCTCTTGAAGGTTTTTATTTGTTCTACGTAGAAAAATGTTCCAAACCTTTCATGTTTATCTGGTGCAGTTCATCAAAAAATTTGTCAGCTGTTAGCAGGGAGAAGGCAGGGTTTGGGGTTTCTTTTCTGCCTTACTACAACACAGCACAGAATTTTGGGCAGCAACTTGGTATTGCTAACTTTAGTGGTTTCATGGGGAATCTTGTGGTGTTTAACGCCCCATCATAGTCCCCAGCTTCTGGATTGTGCTCAGAATCACATTTTTTTCTTAATTCCCCTGGTTGCAAATAGAAGCCTGGCTTTTATGTTTATTTGAAATCTCCCTGTGGCCCATCTGTTTTGGAGCCTTCTGCAGAAACAGCAATGTCAGTGAGACCACAATGGGAGGGCCTCTGGTGAGATGAAGTCTGCTCCAGAAGGAAGAGTCTTTCTACTGGCAGGTCAACACCACCTTTGTCAAACACTGTTAGCCAAGCAGAGGAAAGCTCTCTTTTGTCAGCAGGGCTGTCTGCATCAGAGCACTTTGCTGGCACTGCTCCTACTGCCTAAACACAGCAAATTTGTTTCTTCCCTCATGCATAGTGCTGCTGGCAAAACCTGCTCACAGAGATTTGGCCTCACCTGTGGCAAGTGCAAACTTAAACCTCGATGGGGGAACAGGGTATCATGCACGCCGTGGAGCAGGGCACAGTCTGTGTCTCCATGTCAGGCAGAATACCTAGATGCACTCGCGTGATATGTGCTGGAGCCTTGGAGCTCTCAAAGGTCCGTGCTCTTTTAGCACAGCAACTGAATAGTCTGAGAGCGTATGGATTTTCATCAGCTCTAATCCACTGTGGGCATATCTCCTTCATCTCTGCTTTCTATCTCCTGAGCAAAGCCCTTCTCCTGGATCAATTTTGTGGAGTCTGTCTTCCTGACCTCAATTTGTTCTATAGCACAGTAATCCCACTCACTGCACCAGCTTTCTAGCCAAATATTTTCTAAAAGGTGGCCGTTTGCGATGGTTATTTTTCTAGTTGTACCCCAGGTACAATTGTGCAGCAACTATATGAAGAAGAGGACAAATCATATTATTTCTAGTGGTAGCCTGTGACTTTGAATGAACTGTTCTGTCTACTGGTCATTCATGATTTCCCGTCTGTTGTCTACTTTCCCTGGACAGGAGACATTTGCTAATAAGCTAATTTATTCTGGCTAACACACTGAAAAGCAGAGATGAAAAAATTAGTTATGTCCTAGGTAGCTGTTCAAGAGGAGTCACAGGCACATGGACATATGCTGCAGACATTCGTGGGTGTAAATGAAGAGCATTTAGTCCTCCTTCCCTGCCTCTGTGAGTCCCATCTAGGAGTCAGCCCTATCAGTGATAACAAAATAAAGATACAACACAGGAAAAATTACTTTATGTAGGATTTGGATATGGATTTTTGTTATCCATTTCAAAACAAGGCAAGCAAAACCTTAGTGAAACAAAAAATAGCTACCCTTGGATAATCATCAATCTTGGTAGCTCAGGTACAAAATTTCCTGATTCCATCTCTATTATCTTCACCATGCAAATTTCAGTGAATGCCATTGAAAAGTCACACTTGCCAGCAAGCAATGCTGTGATTACAGGCAGCTAATTCCTGCCCTGATAACTGACCAAATTGTAGCCTGCTTCACGGTACTGCTATAGGCCTCGGAACATTTCTCCTAATAAATAGCGCTAGTTCAGCGCTAGCAGGGTTGCACAGGCTATGAGGAAATGTCGTCATCACACTGGCAAGTTGTTATTTGCATAATATAACCACTCCATCACTGAGTCAGTTCTTGAAGATTCTTATTATATGTATGTTATTTCATTCACTAGGACACATTAAATAGCCTTAGGTGCAGGTTCTTTGTTATTCTGTAGCCCTGTTACTGTACTGTCTGGCAGAAGGTGGTCCAGTCAGCACTGTGGGATACAATAGGGTCTTTCTACACTACAGGTGTATAAGCCTACTTACAAAACGCTAAGTGTGGGAAATTACTAACATCGTGGCCTGGAGTTCAGCATAAGTTGTAAAACCTTGGTGAACTCTTGATAAAAATTGGCCTGTGTAGCCAAAATACTGTCACTACCTGAGCTAACCAGTTTGAAGTTAAGCTTGGCCATGTCATGAGGTCCCTTCTCTGTGCACTGTGAATTTGGACACCACATTACCTTTCTCATCGGTCAGCTTTGCATTCTGGAGATGTTTTAGACTGTCACAGGTACTGTCAGGAACACACTGCTCCATTTTTCTCAGCTGGTGTGATGAAATATTTCAAATCGGTGTGACTTAGAAAGCTGTTCCAGATTAGTGATGCTGTTACCCTGCCTGCACTCCTCATCCCACTGCAGAGTTCTTTTCACAGTGTTGGTTTTAAGACCAGGCACTGGACCAATACAGGGAGCAAAGCTAGCCAAAATCTAATCTCCCTTTTGGATTGGATTTACGCTGGCTGAGCTCCCTGATCTACTTAACTGCCCAGTTGTCTGAGATCAACTTAAGCTGCCATGGAACTGTACTGCTAGAGCAAGCTTGGGGTTGTTCTAATTTACACTGGCTTAAAGGAAGAAATGAGTCTGTGCTTTCATCTCTGTACCCATGATAGGAATTAAGAGCCTGTCTTGTCTTTCAGCATTACAAGCTGTGTTAAGAGCTGCTCCCTTCTTGTCGTCAAGGACAGCCTCAGTTTGCCATTTCGTAACTCTAGAGATGGAAATTGACAGGTAGCCATTTTCCTCCCTGCAGTGCGGTCCCAGATCTCCACCATCACCGTGGCCACCTTCAACACTACCCTGGCCTCATTCAATGTGGGCTACGCTGATTTCTTCAGTGAGCACATGAGGAAGCTTTGCAACCAGGTGCCAATCCCTGAGATGCCCCATGAGCCGCTCGCATGTGCCAACCTCCCACGGAGCCTGACAGACTCCTGCATCAATTACAGTTGCTTGGAAGATACGGATCACATTGATGGAACCAACAACTTTGTCCACAAGAACGGCATGCTGGATCTTTCGGTAATTGGCAAGGAATGAGGAAAGCCGGGTCCCTCTTCTGTCAATATAGCTGTACCATTGAGATCAGGGTTTTGATGGGCTTTTCCTCCACCTCTTTATATGACTTCTCTCAGCAGTACACAAAGGTCAGTCAGATACATTTGTGCATATCATAAGTCTCCTCTGAGACACTGCAACTCCTATTACTCCTTGCAAGGAGTGCATGTGCATGTGGAATGCACACATCAAATCTTAAGTGATGTTATTTAATGGATGTGTTCTTGGGGCATGCACCAAGTTCCCTATAAAATAGTATAAAACTGAATGGCACCTTTCTTCTAATGGCACCTTAAAACTCACCTTTTCTGCATTCCCCTTAATGACTTGACAGTTCCTGGTGCACTGAAGCAGTGTTCTCAGGCTCACAGATGTTATCTTGTGGTTTCCTTTTCTGCCTGACTGCGCCCAGTCTGTGGTTTCTGGTCTTACACCTAGATTGTAGGCTCTTGGGGTTGAGGGTTGTGTGTACTTCATTCTGAGTTTGTACTCTGCCTGCTATAATGAGTCTCTGGTCTGTGACTAGAATTTCCAGGCACTAAATGATGCTAGGAGAGAAAATAAGTCCGACTTTAAATATGATGTTTGAATTTTGCAGGTGGTCCTGAAGGCTGTTTACTTGGTCCTGAACCATGACATCAGTTCCCGGATTTGTGATGTGGCACTGAACATTGTGGAGTGCTTACTTCAGCTTGGTGTGGTCCCCTGTGTAGAGAAGGTTCAGAGGAAGAGTGAGAACAAAGAAAATGAGGCCCCTGAAAAGAGACCAAGTGAAGGATCCTTCCAGCTCAAAGGGGCTGCTTCTGGTGGTTCAGCTTGTGGATTTGGGCCTCCCCCAGTCAGTGGAGCTGGAGATGGAGGAGAAGACGGAGGTGGTGGAAGTGGTGGCGGAGGTGGAAGTGATGGAGGTGGTGGTGGAGGAGGAGGGCCATATGAGAAAAATGACAAAAAACAAGAAAAGGTTTGTCTTGCTTTGCTTTATACAATACCTGAATGGAGTGTAAGGTCTGTTAAAATTGAGTGTGCATGTGTATGCAACTACCCTTCTGCCCCCCCCCCCCCCCCTTTTTTTTTTTTTCACCACAATCACAAATTAATTTGTTTTGCTCTGGTGCTCATTTTGGGTTCCACTGAAGAAACACAATTGGGAATTCAAGCACTGTAACTACTCCAGGAAAGCAGATGCCAAAATCAGAGTTTGTGAGCCTTGCATGTACATTTCCAATTTCTTGTTCAAGTGCCTGAAACCCTCATTCACAATGACTTTTTTTTTCAGGTTTATTATTCATAGCTTATAAGGAAAAACAGAATACAGTGTGTGAGCACAGTTTGTTTCTTTGACGACCAGAAATCATACATTTTTCAACATTGCTATGAGAATTGGCCAAGAGGTGGTATTGCTGACCTCCAAAGCTGCAATACGTAGTAACGGAATACCTAAGACATTTTGAAAAGATGCTTGTTTTTCTGCTCAAGCAAGCCAGTGGTCTGTTTTTCAGGCAGAATTTTTTGAAGTAAGTGCTGAATGGTATTCATAGCTGAGTGTAGAGGGCTTCGCACTGATAGCATGACTTTTTGAGAGGAGCTGAAAGGGAGAGGGCTGGTCCCTAAACTTGAAAAATAATTGGAGTAAATATTTCAAGTGTAACAACTCAGTAATGGAGTGTCTGAGAGGAGAAATGGACAGCAATTTGTTAAAAGTAAAATGCTAACAAAACGCCAGTCGTTGTGCCAGGGTTTCATACCACCTTTCCTTCTGTGACTCTCAGGATGAAGGCCCATCTATCAGCACCCATAGGCTGGCACTCACAATGCTGATCAAAATAGTGAAGTCCCTGGGTTGTGCCTATGGTTGTGGAGAAGGACACCGAGGGCTCTCTGGAGATCGCCTGAGACACCAGGTATTCCGGGAGAATGTAAGAGAACTAAAGCTCATTAAAGCGTCCCCCTTGTACTTTTGACATCAGCTGCTGAGATTGCTGTCTGCCCCCTCTGTAGCTTTCTCTGTATTGGCAGTAAATGTGTTGCTCTTTGCCCAGCTGTAGCAGATTTTCAGCTGTCGTGCTGCCTTTGAGCCCCTGGGGCTTGCTAAGGGTGCTTCTGAGCACCCCAATGGATGTGTTGTCTGGGAAGGGACAGATACAGGGGATCAAATCCTCTGTGTGAGCTGGCATAAGTAATTTTCACATTGACGGTACCGCAACAGAGTACACTATTTACAAGAGGTGTAGCTATCTTGGGTTGCATATCTGAATCCAGAACTCTAGGGTGTAGTTATGTCCACGTTTCCTAATGGTGATTCTGACTGGGTGCTGGTGGGCTGCTCCATCAGCTTCTGGTTGTTGGAGCGCACTGTGCTTGCAGGCACATTAGTGTGCTGCAAGGAAGTAGAAGACTCGTGCCCTGTTGAAGGACAGGGTGGGTGGTCACTGTTGGTTGCTTACATTTTTGGCTCTGCCCAAGCTGAAGCAGTGGAAGATGCACAGGATGTAGCCCTGATATCTGACTTCATCCAGAAGAGTTTGACTGCCTGAGGTCAGTCCAATGCCCTGCCAAATGGGAGTATTTCAAAGGTTTTCTCCAGCACATGCCTCTTCCTCGCCTTCTGTGCTTGCAGCAAGAAACATTTTTGATGACGGCAATGAGAATTTACACTGTACCCATCCCAGTGTGGCTGGGAGCCAGGTGCTTCTCCATGGCTTTGGTTAGCCTGAGCCATGCCAACAGAGATATCATTTGGTTCTGGGATCTGAGCTAGATGGCTCTGAGATGGATGGGCTGCCTCTGTATCATGCAGTCTTCTTCTGTTAGCTAGATTTTCAGGTACTGAGGAGACTACTGCACCAGTAATGTTAGTTCTGGACACAACAGAACAAGATGGGGTACAAGAGTCCCAGTGGTAACACTAGAAAGTTTTGGCACAGAGTACTGGTTGAACATGTACCATATTCACCAAAATGTCAGATAGGCTTTTACATTGTGTTGGAGCTGGGCCAGCAAAAACATTTGGGCCCATGCACAACATTAAGCATAAATGAACAGGTCTCTTGGAGCCAAGGTTCTTAGCAGATTCATTGAATTCAGGTCTTTATGGGAAGAGATTTTCCTGTTCGTTTAAGTCTGCTGCATTTTCTGTGTGTTTGGCTGGCCAAACTGCTTTGCATGAACCATTTGTGTTGACTGCATGGACAATCACATGTCTGAGTTTACTGGGAAGTTAAACACCCTATGGCAGGTAGCTGGAGAGTTCATGTTTCCCATAAAGCTGATATTTCAGATTCTCTAACCCCTTCATGGGGTCCCAGTAGGATGGATACTTTTGTGATAAGAAGTTGACAATTAATAACTTTTAAATAAAAAGCTAATGTTTTGCATGATGTATAGTCACTGGGTACAGGTGCATCAAATTGGTTGGGTCTGAGCCAGAGACTGAAAATCAGATGCCTGAAGCTAAGAGCCTTTTTCACCAAGGCAAAACAAGCCTTGACTGAGGGGTACATGCCTACTTCATTTCTGTTCAGTGACATTTTACCTTGGGGCTGGGGAGAGCAGGAGGGGCCTTGAGACATGGCTGGCAGTGGCTTCACCACCTCCAAACAGTGCCACCCATACTGGTGCCTTCAGCACTGTCTCCTTGTGCTGAACGTGTTGTTTGCTTCAGAGGCAAAACTGTCCTCTGTTACAGGACCTGAACCTTCTGCCTCCTAAGGGAGGTTACTCTAGACAGCAGAGCAGAGCACTGGCTAAGCAAAAGTAAAAAATACCCTGCTCCTATTAGCAAAATTCAGACACATATTTCAATGTGATGTGATTTGATGGATATCGTTGCAGGCTCAGAACTGCCTCACAAAGCTGTACAAACTGGATAAGATGCAGTTCCGGCAGACCATGAGGGATTATGTGAACAGGGATTCTCTCAATAATGTGGTGGATTTCCTGCATGCTTTACTGGGATTCTGTATGGAGCCAGTCACTGACAGTAAGTATAGCTGGCATCAGAAACTCCCACTTGAATGTTCCTAAATTGTACAATCAGAAAGAAGCCACACCCTTATATTTTCCTTTAAAAAAAAAAAAAGTTAATTACTATCCTGAGAATATACAGACCATATCATCAGACCGTGTGGGTCAGGGGACTTGGGTCTCTTCTGATTTGACCACCCAGTGATCTCCTCTGGTGATCTTGCATCACCCAGTGCACCTCAAATTGAAGGCTTCTCTTTTGATTCATCCTACCTGTTCATGGTTCTTCAAAGAAATATTTTCATTCAGCTATGCCTCAGGCAGGAAGTTTTCTGCTTCATGATATAACCAGGCACCAGCTGGAATGGCCTGTTTAATCCAACGTTTATTCTGAATGGAGATATAATTGAGCATTAAAACCCTCTGCGGTGCCTCAGGTGAGGCAGTAAAGAGCAAGAACAGATGGAATAAACAAGAACATGAACACACAGATGTGCATGCCTGCAGTTACAAGAGTGTGTCTATGTATATGTGTATTCTTTTCTTTAAGTTAGAAAAATTATTCCAGGTGCTATTAGAATGACCAAACATTTATGCTTGGTCACTGCATGCAACAACAGTTAATAATGATTGTTCAGAGTAGGAATAGCTGCTCTGAAGCACTCAGGGAGTCTGACTAGTCTATTAGCTTGTATCTGATCTCAGGCATTTCAGAGAAAGCATTAAAAATATTATATAGAAGACTTTTGTAAAAGAGATACCCATAGGAAGCTTTCCCAACTATTCATCAATTATTGACTAGCTCATGCTTTGAAGCATGGCAGCTCACGCAGCTTTTGAAAGTCTTTTCTCTCACCTAATGAAACTGGGATGTTTCTTGTGTAATTCTTTTTTGACTCTGTCTAAGAGTTTGGTGTCCTTATGTAGCTTCCAAGAACAGCATTCCTTTAGTTGAGATTTTCTTTTTGTGAATGTTGTCGCTTTTGAGCTTAATCAAACACCTCTTGTCCTTTAGAACAGTAAATAGAAAAGCTGGAGGTATTGTTCAAATTTTATTCCTTGTTCTGTACATCTCTGAGTGATGTGGACAATAGGAAGACAGAGTGGACCTGCTCTTTTTAATCCTTTTTCATACTACAACTATTTCTGGAAAGATTTAAACCTTCTCATTTATTTTACCTTTCCCTTCTGCTTTATTTTTGTGAGGTGGGATTGCGGGAACTGAGCATAGGATATTAGATGGGGACTTGCCCTTGTCTGTGTGTCTTTAAGCCATCTTTTTTGCACTGTTCCTAACAAGGGGGACTTGCTTGTACTTGAATTTCACAGACAAGGCTGGATTTGGGAATAACTTCACCACAGTGGACAACAAGTCTACAGCCCAGAGTGTAGAAGGTATTATTGTGAGTGCCATGTTCAAGTCATTGATCACCCGTTGTGCTTCCACTACACATGAGCTGCACAGCCCGGAAAACCTGGTAAGCACTTGATTTCGTGTTAACAATGTTACTTTTCACTTGGGTGTCACTAGTGAGGTTTACAGTGAAGAATTCATTCAGATTAGCCAAATCCCACGAGCATAGCAAGCTATGCAGTCACAGTTGAAACATGATATAAATGTGATGCCCTCCTTTCATGCCTGCATCGGAACTTGAGGACTTAGCCAGGATAAAAGTTGTTCACTCTGAATTGCATTTTCGACTCTGTTCAAGCAGCTTCTGCAGGTTTTTTTTCCAAGTAGTTCAGTAGCATAGTCTGGAGCAGGGGAGTAATGAACGAGACCACAGCAAGCATAAACCACCTTTCAGCAGAGATGAAGCCAGTTTACTTAGTTAAGGACATGGCCCACCCATAGTAGAGTATGTGAGTTACTGAAGAGCGATTCAGTAGATCTTCCCAAGGTTTAGACAAACATTCAATTTACTAAATAATGGGAGGAATGTAAGGTGGTGCTGGTTGCTGCCTATGTGCTATCTCCCCAGAGCAGTCAGTAGAATGGATGACACAAGATGTCTTCGTTCAAATTGGTGCAGAATCTAGCTGCTAACCTCAAACCACCTCCTTTATTATCAGAAATTAGGATTTTTCATCAATACAACCAAGAAGCACTCTTGTGCTCTGTCCTTACAGCGGTGCTGTGGAGGCACTGAAGTCCAGCTAGAGGGACAGTAATCCTTTGTGAGGCAACAGGAGAGGGAGAAGGAAACCACAGTAACATCTTAAACCAGCAGACTAGTCTGCCTGGGTCCAAGTCCTCTTGTTCTTATGGACATTCCTCCTTTGGAATGTTTCTCAGCAGAGATTAAGTGGTGGGATTCAGAAAAACACGCACTGTTGTTGGACCTAGATTAGGATCACCAAGTGTAAATTTTCCTTATAAATTGTATGTCTTTCTGGACTTTATTTTAGCTAGTGTGTAAGGTGAAACTGACCTTGAAGCGTAGCAGCATTAAGTGTGTCTATATGGAGAACATATTGTGTAGAGTATATATGAGGTTTTCGTGTTGTTGTGTCGCTATTTAAAGTCAATCTTGTGTGCAGTTTCTTATTGAAAAGAGCCTTAATCAGTACACAGATCCAATTATTTGTTTATTTGGGGTTAGGTTTTTTCTTTTTTTGAAAGATGGCTGTGCAATTCCTAGCTGGGGATTTTCAGAATAACCCAAGGTCTTTCAGGAGAGTTCACAGATCAAGAATCAGGTCCTGTAAAACTGTTCCCTCCATCCCCTTGCCCTCAGATGTAGAGGTGGTTGTCACGTCACAGATGTGTACGAATGTTCAGAACTAAAAAGAGCCTTGAGTGTAGGAGTAGGTTGGGGAATGAGTGAGTCACTCTTCTCTCTTCCCCTGATGTAAAGCTCTAATTAAGAAAAATCCCAAGACACCCACTGGTTTTGAAACAATATATGCAATTTTTTACACTCTGACTTCCCCCCCACCCATTAATTTAGTGTTTTGATGCCTTTTAAGATTATGGGCTAGATGAAGGGGACGAAACAGGCTTTAAGTTGTCTTTGCAGCTCCCTCATCTTGCAGCTGTTTTAGCCTCCTATATCTCTACATCTGCTTTAGCCCACTGCAGAACATATTCCATAATAAGGCTCCTCATTGTCTGCTTCTTCTGGGTTCACTAAATGGAGCTTAGAGCTTCTGATTCCAGCCAGAAAACACACACCCTCTACATGGAGACAATATCAAACAGAGAAAGTAATGGCCTGCTGAAGTACCATAGCAACTATTGATTGTCACTGCTTCTTCACAAACTGCAGACTGAATTCATTCATTTTCTTCATGTCTTTCTACACAGGGCTTGTACTGCGATATCCGACAGCTGGTCCAGTTTATCAAGGAGGCTCATGGGAATGTCTTTCGGAGAGTGGCACTCAGTGCCCTCTTAGACAGCGCTGAAAAGTTAATACCAGGAAAAAAAACAGAGGAAATGGAGCAAGAGCCAAAACCCTCTGTGAGCAAAAGGTGGGTGTTCAGGAGGGAGAAGGTAAATGACTAACCTGCATATGGCTGTATAACTACATGCACTGAGCACAAATGTGGAAAGTCCAAGGGCTTGCGTGTTTTATCTGATAGGATATGTCAGTTCCCGATGTTCAGAATTGTACTGTGGCAGCTATCTCCTTTAAGATTTAATGAACTGAATCAGTAATAGAGTTGCAGCAAAAAGTGCTAAGCCTCTTGTACAAGAGGCCTAAGAGGACAGTGCAATGGAAACACTGGGAGGAGGAAGGGTTAAGAGAAATAAGCAGCACAGTGTCAGTCCCAAAACACTATGTGGACATAGCTTTTAATGTGCATCACATCCTTAGTGTTGTTTATGTGACATGCGTGTTTATCTGGTATGCAAAACAAGTCCCAGAAGAAATCTAATCCTGACACGCTTCTTTATCAAAAATAAATTTTCTCTGGTGTTTTGAGGCTTGTCATATTAAAATGTTGGGAAGAAGGATTCAGAAAGTTGAAAAACTCCTAAAAACTGTCTTTGCTTCTAAGAGCTGAAGCTTTTTTCATGAATGAGGCAGTAAGTTGCTAAAGAGAGGGTATATTTGTAAAGCTGTTTTCTTTGCTCAGCAGTGCTGGTTTCCATGTCATGTAGCTATGTGATGGGCCGTCCATTTGCTTTAGCTGATGATTTATATTGTCTGCACAGATCCGAGGTGGGAAGTGTCATCATTGACAAAGGCCAGGTATCAGCTGCCCCTGATGAATGCCGTAGTTACATCTCAAGCCGCCCAATGCAAACTCCAGAACAGTAAGTAAATATGTAATTGTTTCATGCGTTATTGCCAGCAGCTTCCTTCTGGGGTTAGTACAAATGCACAAGGACATGTCTCTTTGGATGGTGCAACAAGGCATTAAGTGTCTGTTCAGGAGCTGCTGCTAACATCCAGGTAAAGCTTTTTTTCCGTACTGCCTCCTGGACCCACCCTGATTTTTATGGGGAACAACCAGAGACTTTTGAAAGATAGTGCAGTAGATGTGTCAATATCACATGCCATCATAACCATGGGTGGAGTGCTAATTACTCAGAGATGTCATCACAACTGTTTTCCATGCTTTGTACTTCTGGGGGATGATTCTATTAATTTTCAACTTCCAAGTTGTTGCTAAGGGTCATTAATCCTTTACTGCCTCCCAAGAGCCAGCCCATTCCTGACCAGTCTTAGGCACGTAGTCTCCAAAGATGGTTGTATTTCCCTTATCAGCACATGTACTCTATTGATTTTCTTAATGAGTAAATCAACCTGCTGTTAGGGATCGCACATTTGAAGTCTCTATTGTCCAAAGAATTCTGTCATTTAATACTGAAATAAATGTAATCAATACTCTTAAGAATTTAAGAAAATTTTATAAATAGCCATCAGTCCCTGGGTGACTCTGGACAAGTCATTCAACTTCTCTGTCCCTCTGAATGTCTTGTTAGAGTGCTTTGAAATGCACTGTATGAAGGCATTGCTTGCACAAGGGCCCAGAGCTCTATATTATGTATTCTTCTGCATTAACCAAGCCTGCAAATCCTCACTGTTGCTGAGGCTGCAAGAACACAAAGGCCCTTACTGCTCTGCAGAATTGCAGCATGCTGTTCTGCTCTGAGCCTTGCCACAGCCATGGGAGATCTCGAGAGTATGGCAAAATATGCTGTCCCCATTCCAAAATGTTAATGGAACTGTGATTCCAGTGGGTTCATAAATGGCTATCGTGATGTCCAAAAGCTCTCCAGTGTACGTGCTTGTAGAAAGCACTGATGCAGTCTTATCAATGTGGGTCATTTTGACCTAAAGAAGTTGATTTGTTTTTCACATGTTGAAACTAAAAATTGGAATGACTTGTTCAGTAGACAAGCTCCTCAGTGTAGAAAAGATGGTTATTTTGTGCCTTTAACAATATTGAGCATGTTGTCAAACTTGATTATGTCCCACTGAGGAAACGCATGTTTGGAATTCAAAATGAAACAACCTCAAAGAACAGAGAGGCCAGGAGGGGACTGTGGAAGGGAGGCCTCATTCTGCTGAGCATCCAAACTTCACTGAAATGCAGTTCACACTCTGCATCCCTTTTCTTCCAGTGATGAGCAAATCCAAGGGGCTGTCCTGGGACGCAAGGACTTCTGGCGAAAGATGTTCAAGTCACAGAGTGCAGCGAGTGACACCAGTAGTCAGTCTGAGCAGGACACATCCGAGTGTACCACTGCTCACTCTGGGACCACCACAGACAGGCGCTCCCGCTCCCGATCCCGACGGATCTCCCTTCGAAAGAAACTCAAACTCCCCATAGGTAAATGTATGTCTCTTCCTATTCTGTATACATATTGCATGTGCAGAGAAACACCAATAGATATATCTGTCTTAAGAAATATTACAACACAGTTCCTTATTGTCCAAGTATATTGTATATTCCCCTAAGGGAAGGTGGGGAAATGCTTCTCCCTCCATTTTACAGATGGGGAAGTGAGACAAAGAGAAACATAAGCAATTTGCCAAAGGTAACAGAGGATATCTGTGGCAAAATAGAATACTGAATGTGTCTCCAAAGTAGTAGGCTGGTACCTTAATCTCACAGGTGTTGTTCTTCTCTGTAGAAGATAAATATTCCAAATAGCATTTGATAGACAAAAATACATCCTTTACAAGCCCCAAGACCTGGCCTTGCATGGTAGTTAATGCATGCAACATGAAAACGTTGCCTTCCTCTTTCCTCCCATTTTCCTATACCCTGGCATGACCACTCTGGAGAAATAAGCTGCAAACGCTAATTAATAGATTCTGCTTGGAAGCATTTTCAGAATTGTCCTGAGCAGCTTATTCTGCAACAGGGAACTGGCTGAAGCGCTCCTCCCTCTCTGGCCTGGCTGACGGGGTGGAAGATCTCCTAGATATCAGCTCTGTCGACCGTCTGTCTTTCATCAGGCAGAGTTCCAAGGTAAACGTGTCAGGCCAGGATTGCAGAGAGCTTGGAAGGACAGGATCTGGCTGGTTTTAGCTGTCCAGTGAAACATTCTACTCAACATGGACATAGCAGCTGACAAGACTCGATCACAGAAATCTTCAGAGTAGACTGCCATGGGAATTTGATACTGGGCTTTTGTGGCTCACAGTGAAGACTAGGTTATACTTACACAGTACTTGTTGGTCTGCCTTGGTGTGCCTCACTGAGAGAGAAATGCAGGCTCTGTCATCGCACTTAAGGTTTAATTCTTGGTCACACTTCTTCCTTTTTTGTGCCTTTACAGCCTCTTGCAAAAGACCAGTCCTTTAAGCAGAAAGCTTAAAAGATGAAGTGCTTCAGCGTACGTAAATCTGTGCAGACCCACTTGTGTTGCTATGGTGATCCACTGTGTTAAAGCCCTTCTGTAATTGCTTTGTGTCTAAGCAAGGAAGACCAAGAGATAACGGTACGGCGCCACCTGACCTGGTCCTCTGTCTTGCACAGGTGAAGTTTACCAGCGCGGTGAAGCTGTCAGAAGGAGGGGGACCAGGAGGTGGCCTGGACAATGGGCGAGATGAAGAGGAGAATTTCTTCAAGCGTCTTGGTAAATGGCGCACCTGCCGAAGACACCCATCCAAGCTTCATCACACAGAAGAAAAAGATGGTTAGAAATCAGGGTTCTCGTCTTCTTTTTTCTTTCTTTTTGTCTTTTTTTTTTTTAAATCTCTTTCTTTCTGTATTTTACACTTTTCCCTTTTTTCCTGCTTTCTCCGTAGTTTTTGTATCCATTCTAGCCTTTTCCAACTTTTTAGTCTTTGTAACTGTTTTCTTTTCCTTCCTTCTTTCTTTCATTTTGATTTAGAAAAAAACTCTGGTAAAGTCAATTATTTAGAAAATCAAGACTATCCAAATAAATTATGCAAATACTACATTTGGGCTTTTAAAATCAAATTCAATTTGATCAATACACTTGAAAAATCAATGCTTGCTTCAAAGCACTTATTCAGTTCAAAATTAGGTGCATAAATCTTTCATTGCTTGATATAACAATGGGTGTTCCATCAGGTTTTTTGGTTTTTTCTTTTTTTTTTTTTTCCAATTTGTGACCATTTGACAGTTTTAGCAAAGATCAGCACTGATGAAATTGAAAACCCTGCACAAACCTTGTTATAATTATCTCTTTTCTTCTGTGTTTGCATGTCTAGTGTCTGCATACCATTCGTTAGGGATGCTGTCCCTTTTTCTTAGCACACAACATAATAATAACAACACTCCTTTTCCTTTCCACTAAAGTATATTTAATTGCAATGCATTTTCAAAATCAGCAATGTTTGAAGAATGCCTTTATGAATAATACGAGGTCATGATACATACTGCTTTAAAATGTCATGTAGTCATTCACATGCTCATGTCCTCAGCTCAGAGCTCATTCTCGTTGTCAGGGAGACAACCTTGTATCCTGAAGTTCTGTTGCTGTTTTTTCGAGAAAACCCAGCCTGACTCCCAAAAACACACAAAAAGGAGCAGATTTTCTTTTTCACCATGACTTCTGTAGCGTTACAGTATGTTACATTCTCTGTCATGTTTTTTTTTTTCTGACATTGCACTTTGACCCTGCATTGTATGTATTTCACCATCATCTGTCCCAGACCTGCGTTAGCATGTAAAGCATTGTTCAGGCAGGTGATACTAGCAGAGTATGAGCATATCTCACCAGTGTAAACTGGTCATCATTCTACCACTGCAAACACACCGGTGGTGGTTTTCAACTGGTTCCTAGGCGAGAAGTGTCGTTCCTTTAGCAGGAGAAAGCATCAGACCAGCAGCTCTTTGGAGCTTGGTAGCTGAGGGTGAACACCCCCACACTGGAAGGAACGACATTGTTTTCTTCATCCACTACCTTGTGCTGAAGTAGGTGTGAAATACTTCCACCATATTTTCTCCCAGCTCTTACTGGGAACAAGCAACTGAGGGGCAGTGAGATCTTTATTGACTGACACAGCTGTTTTTACAGTGCTCGTGTGAGATGTCCTTCATATTTTCTTGTAGGAAATACTTTTTTTTTCATCTAACTAATGCTGATTTTATGCCACTGAGTTTGCTTCTGCCTGGAGTGCCTGTATTCTTGATTTAATGGCACAGACATAGTCTAAGCCCTGTGAGCATCAAAAGCCTTGCTCAGTATGTGCAGCACATCTTATGCCTATAAAAAACTCAGGTGACACGTTAGGACTGGCTTTTTGAGCTTTGGAAATGTTGTCCAGGCTTCAACCTTCTGTGTGTAACATCAGAATTGATGTAATTTATGAAGAGAACTTGAAACATCTTTTACATGCCTGTGAGAGAAGAGGTGTACATGACATGTGCCTGGTTTTGACATATGCATGCATTAGAAATACCGCAATAAAAGTGATGCAATGGGTTAAAGACAGAAACCCTTGCATGTTAGTATGGGAAATAGGCAAATTGTCCAGTGATGTCGGTGAGGGGAGGACTGGACCATTGCCTGATCACTAACTGAAGCAAAGGGAGGGTATTTAAAGTTTATAAGGCAAAATGTGACCATTAAGTAAGATGCATCACCATGTCCACAAGGACCTCTGGTATGCAATGAAAGCCACATGCCGTTAGCAAAAATATTAGAGTAGTTGTACATGCCTGTGTGTGCACGTACTTGTATGTGAGTAGGGAAATCAACGTGAAGCCTTTTCAGAGTGGGACAGTTTATAACACAGTAGAACAGCAACATTACAGAGGGCCTTCAAATTTCCAGTGCTTCTCTATCTTCCATAAAGATCAGCAGGTTTTATGTGCTTATGGAGAAGAGAAGAAAAGCCTGTTGAAGGTGGATCCAGCATACTATTAAATCCCTCAAGGTCTGAACTTAAAGCATTGTTTTGGAACCTATTTCTGCCTTCCCCTTCTTATCATTCATGATGCTATGCTGTTACTTTGTTCATGCTTTTTCCATGTGGTGTTTCCTCTTGTGTTTTTGGGTTTTTTGACATAGTAGACCAAATTTAAAAGAAAACAGAGGGAGGAGAAATACATTACAATATAAAAAAAGAGGCAAAATGATTTGTCACATCATTTATGAATTTTAATATCCCATCATGATATATCATCTAGACCACTGGGAATTCTGTGTTGGGTATGTATGTAAGCGTGTGTGTGTGTATCTGTATGTGTGCATATGTATACATATCTATACACATAAGTATATGCACATTAATGCATAACAAAAAATGTTTATTTTAATAACCTTTTTACCTATACTTGAGAACAAAGCCATATATATAGGAGTGAGTTACAGTATGTTTACATGAGACCCTTAACGTTCCTTTGGACACTTACTGAATACATTGTGAGTAACCATAGAAGGTGCCAGGGTGTTCAAGGCGGAACAGCACGGGAGACCCACAGCACGTGCTTGCTCTGGGGGCTGATCTCGCATTTGCACGCTGTGGGGCAGGAGCTTGGACATCCAGTGTCCTCCTTTGTTAGGAAATGGCATCTTCTCACCAGGTGAGATTTTCTGCAGGGCTGAGTCACATTAACATTAAGCCAGTGAGGACTCCCCTGCTTACAGCAAGGCTACTCCAGGATGGACATAGTGGAGAACAATCGTCAGTTGCCTATGAAAGACTCCCTTGCAAAGCTTCAACAAAGTGCCAGTCTGGGACTGCAAAGGGCTGTAGCAATTGCCTCAAAGTAGTACTGCTGAGCCCAGATGGACAAAGCCTCTACTAGATCTTTATAATGGGGTTTATGAAGATGCCTTAGGCATGCTTTTCCATATCAGAAAGTCAAGTTGCTGTTCTTTATCTTATACAGGCACAGACCTAACAGGGCCCTGAATAGGAAACATTTGTTTGTGCCTCAGATGAGTTAGTGTTACAGCAGCCATAGCAGGAAGGCTCAGATAGCATGCTACAGGCAATAAGGAAACAGGAGTTGGAAGAAAAGAGTATTTGTGCCCGCTCATTTATGTAAGTGTTCTACCTGTTCTTTCTATCTTGTTTGTTTGTTTGTTCCATTTTGAAGAAGCATTTCCAAACATAGGAACATTTAGTTTACTGGAAAACTATGTACAGCTTCACTGGAGAGAGAAAAGCCACAGAGGTAAAGAAGTCTCTTGAAATTTGACACACCTCTGTCTTCAGGGGAAAAGTGAAGATCTACACTGTCATTTTCTGTTGTGACTATTGTTTGTGGTACATAAGTGCTTTCCAAGTAATTCTGGGGAGCGCAGTCTCAAAGGGACTTTGAATTTTCAGCCATTCTTCTTTCCTGAGGAAGGAGAAGTCACAAAGTCCTGTAGAGCTGACGTTTTGCCTCGTCTTTCAAATCCATGTTTAAAGACAATCTTGAATTCTCCACTTGGTGTTCTCTTCTTCAGTGCTTTATCCCTCAGTATTCTGTAAACTTTTGTACTTTCACATGTAAAGAGGGAGAGTATTATGGACATTATTGTATTAAAGACAAAAAGCCCAAGAGCTGACTATTCTTGTTTTGACCAGCCACTGTGGCCTTGAAACTACTTTCCTGATTTCTTATGCCTTTATAACACTCACCCAACTCTAGGTACTGACTGTGTAATGTTCTGAATTCAGAAGCGTTCATTCCAGTCACCAATGGAATTAGTTGATTTATCATGTGAACTCAATACAGGGAGTTTAAAATCATGCTTGAAAGAAGCCCTGTAGAGGAGTGCTAGCTTTGTTTCCAAAAGTAACTCTTATGAGGGGGCCTTCCATCCCAAAGAGTGCAGGACACATCAAGGGAGAGAGGCTGGAATGACGGATGTTGAGTCCACCCTCACTTTGGGTGCTCTGGTAATTGCAACAGATGTATGCCTAAAAAAAAGGGCAGAATTTGGTTTCCCCATGGAACATTTCTAATATTTGCTACTGATTTTTCTGTCCTAGTAGATGATATATTACTAAACTCATACATGAGAAATAAGGTTTATGCATGCTCTACTTTAAGGTAAACTTAAAGGCAATAGAGAAGTAAGATAAGAGATTATTCAGGGAAAACAGACAGTAAGCAAGATGTTCTGTGTTAAAGAGGTGGGGAGGAAGGGCCATATTCTGGTTCACCTATGTTGGAGTAGATCCTGGGCTTCCACGCTGAGTATGGTGGGATTGTTTGAGGCAGACATCAGTATGATCAAGATCAGAATCTGGCTTGCTGTATGCTTATTTCATGGAAGTAATGAATATGGTAAAAATGACCCTGTTATCTTCAAGATAGTGCATCAAGGTGAGGAAGGGATTTAGACCAAGGCTGTGCTCATCAGGATTTTTGTTCCACTTTTTTTATTGGTGAGAGACTGTGTTCCCTTCTCCCTACCCCTCCCTGCATCCCTTCTGTACTCTCTACCTCTTTAGGTTGCCATAGTTTTGATGATCACTTGACCTCCAACCAAGAAGGAGGAAAATCCAAGAACGTTGTGAACCTGGGAGCAATCCGCCAAGGCATGAAGCGCTTTCAGTTTCTCCTGAACTGCTGTGAACCAGGCACTATCCCCGATGCCTCCATTTTGGCAGCAGCCCTAGATCTTGTAAGTCATTCATTGGTGTATTTTTACCTGCTGAGTGAGAGCATGTGCATACGTGGTGGTCCGTTATCGTTCACTAATGCTGTTCATGCCCACACAGAAAGCAGGTAAAGCATCACAGCAATGTCAACTAGTGGTGCTGTTATTAGGTGGACTTTTAGCATCTGTGAGTGGATGAGTATGCAGACAAAATGGACCTTTTTTATTACATGGCTCCCCATAACTAGATTATTTGCAGCACAAAGCTTTTATTGTCAGACCTCAGATTTTGCTACAGCCATTCTGCTTCTGCTCCTAGTGTCATTAATAACCTACAGAATATGGACTGAAGACTGGATAATTACCTGGAGAGGCATAGTAAT